CACTCTTTTTTTTCCCTTACATTTTCCCACCTCAACTTTCTTCCTTCTTTTGGACCTGCTCACCGTTGACGCTCCTTAGTCCCTGGTCCGTGCATGGGCAGAATCTGTTCTTCCGGCCCAATTTCCTCCCTGCTAATTGCACTTGGCACTCGTTGCATGTAGTATATCAGATCCCGTCACTCGTCCTTTGTCATACATTAATCTATCTGCGCCGACGTCCCGGACCATTCGTTCTTATCACCTCAAAGCACAGGATCTATCGCCCTGTTCTTGGCTTTCATTCAGTCGTTCTTTTCTTTTTTTCATGACCCCTTCGTCTTCGAGAAATCTTGCTAGACACCTCCACGATATCCGGCTGGTGGAGGATGATGTTGTATCGACATGCTTCCCGGTCCCTGAGTTCTCTCGCCCGGGCTGGCCTGCCACGACCTCCCCGGAATCATCGAATCACCACCCCTTATGTCGTACGAAATTTCACGCAGGGGCCTGTATTGGCGGGGCCCGACTCGTTAGAGCAAAGCACATCTGAAGAGCCCAAGAGCCGGGAGAAGAAGAAAAACGAGAAGGAGGCGGAGGAGGAGCCCACGGTGAGGTCGACTTTGCTGAAGATGATGGAGACGGCGGCCACGACATTCGCCTCTCTTGCAATTCTAGGGTAAGATCTGCTTCCTCACGACATGCAAGCGCTCGTGGTTCGCTGATTATGGCACTAGTCTAGCCGGATATGCGTATCATCGGTACTACAAGTATCTGATCCTGGAAAAAATGGAGAATGCTTTCAATCCTGGCGACCCTGCGCTTGAAATTGCCGGGATCGAGGAAGGCAAACACCGCTTCAACCATGAAGAGCATTGGGTAGTCCGTGACGAGCAAGCCCGCATCGACAGGATTGTCTCCGGCCTCGGAGTAGGACGCTATTACCTGTTGGTCGGGGAGAAAGGGACGGGGAAGACGTCCATGATCCTCGAAGCGATGCGTAAGATCAACGGCGAGGGTTGCGCAATGTTCGAGGCGCATGGGGATCTGGAGATCTTCCGGATCCGTCTGGGTAAAGCACTGGACTATGAATTCCATGAAGAGTAAGCGAGTACATATGAAGGCTATTGGCCTGGCTACTGTGATGGCTTGACTGACACATAGTGCGCATCTTGCAGCTACATTGGAAGTTTATTCAGCATCAAGGGCCCCCGGGACACAACCGCTCTCCTGGATATTGAGCGCGCATTCAACAAGCTAGAAAAGGTCGCTTTGACTAGACGGCGCACGAAGAAGAGTCCCTTGATTTTGATTGTCAATAGCGCACACTTGGTCCGCGACGATCATGATGGCCAAGATCTTCTCGAGGTCATTCAGCAACGAGCCGAGCAGTGGGCCGCAAGTGGCCTTGTCACGACGAGTAAGTTTGATTCAATATGTAACTTGTGGATCTATCACTAATAGTTGACAACCAAAGTCCTGAATAGCGATGACTACTGGGTGTACGAACGCCTCAAGCGCTATGCGACGCGCATGGAAGTCATCCCTGTTAAAGATTTGCCCAAGGAACCGGCCATGGAGGCTCTGAAGAGATACCGTAAGCAGTATTTCGGTGAAGAGCTATCGCCTGAGGATCTGGAGAAGGTGTACGATGCCGTTGGAGGGCGGCTGTCCTTCCTGAATCGGGTGGCTAAGGCCCCTGATTACAAGAAATTGTGTCAGGATATTTGCACGGCTGAGAAGACATGGTTTCTTAACAAGTGCTGGATTCTGGGTCCCGAGATGGATGATGATGTGATGGACCAGCAAAAATATGCGGTATGGTTCTCCTCAGGTCAGGACGGACAAAATTTGACTGACAACGATGATAGTCCGCCGCGATGGTGCTGGCCAAGGCACTTGTGGAAGAGGAAAAGAAGATGAAGCATTCCTATCACCCGGAGCTAGGCCACATCCTCCCAGAGATCCCCCTCCACGAAGCCCGGCAGATCATGACGAGAGCCGATTTCGTCCAGAGTTATGATCATGAAAACATCTTCACTATCGACTCTCGAGCCATGGTTCGAGCCGACTCGGTTCCGATGCAGAACGCGTTCCGTGAAATCTGCAACTGGCCAGGGTTCGATGAGCACTTGGAGGGCACACTGACGCGTATTGGAGACATCGAAAGTCTCGGACGTACGCGCGAATTGACGATCAAAGACCTATGGAATCAGGGCAAATACCAGCTGGTTATGCGGGATGGCAAGGGTCGCGAGCAAGGCGCGGCGGAGTTTTCCGTGGTAGAGAGCGAGCCAGAGAAAGAGGACGATTGAGGACGATGCTGGGAGATGTAAGTAGCCTGCGACGCGACATGCATTGCAGGCTTTGCGAGGCAATAGCCAGACCTGAATAAGTGTTGACTTGTTCTCTTGGTGATCCCATTGGCATCATGTATACAACCGAATTGTACAGTTATTGAATGTATAGGAATAAACAAACATGCATGCCATAATGATGAGGTATAGTGGAACGAATGCCTTGCTGCCTCAGTCCGCGAACCAGGGTCCTTGTTTGCATCATGGACGAATGACATCATCCACTGCTGACCTCACCGCCCGCGAGGGCCAAACATTCCCAGCCTCATCATTAATCTTTCTTTCTTTCTTTATCTCGTGTCTCGTGTTGTCCTTTCTCTTCCTCATTCTTTCATCCCCCTCCATCACCCCTCCCTCACCCCTCCCTCCCCCCTCCTCTCAATCTGACCAGCCTTGACTACAAGAACACCCTCGTCGCACCAACTTCTATCGCCACTAACAGCACAACCACACATCTGTGAACAAACACGACGATCAGATTCGAACCATGTCCCCGCGCAAGAAAGAAGTGCTGTCCTCTGTGACAATAATCCAAGAGCCCAGCGCCAGTGCGCAGCCCCACCACAAGACGCAGTTGGAGCGAATTCCACCCCCAGCGCGATTCCTTCTGGCCGTTGTCAGCAGCCTAGCTCTGAGCTCTGGCCTATTTACGCTCATGCCGATCGTGACCCGGGGCGAGCTCGGCAATGTGAGCAAGCATCTTGAGACCTGGTGGGAAGTGGGAGGGTTGATGGCGTGGAAGGCCGTTGAGGTCGGGCTGGCCTGGATTCTGGGATACGACAGTATGTATGCCTCTTCTCACAGCATTCCCCTCCGATGAAACTGACCTCTTCGCGCAGGCCATGATGTCTGCTCCTTCACCTTCCTCACCCATCTTCCGACCTACTCCCTCCTCTCCACCTTCTACGGCGTGCGACCGACCACCATCCTGGCCTCGTATGCGATCACCATCCTCTCGACGGTCCTCCCCTTCACCCTCCTCCGCCGCCCCAACTCTTTCCATGATCTCGCCCACGCGAGCCCGGAGACCGTCTCCAACCGCCTCATCCTGCAAGACCGCGCCACAACCGCCTATACGACTATGGTCGCGACCGCGATCTTCACCGTGGCCCTCTACCTCAGCTACGCCACCCCGTGGCTGCCCACCAACCTGGTCCTCCACTTCGAGGGCATCCCCGACATCTCAGCCGTGCACGCCGGACCCGCCGGCCTCCCGGCTCTCTTCCTGACTCTCCTCCCCGCCGGCTTTGCGGCGCGCGACTTCCTCTTCGCCAGCTCGACCGGTGCGTCTGCTGCCAGCGACAAGAAGACCGAGAAGACCGAGAAGACCACGAAACCCTCCACCTCCACCCAGGACGGCGAGTACCTCGCGTGCGCCGTCTACCGCAAGACCTGGGGCACCCTCTCCCCCAAGACTCAAGTGCTGGTCTCGCGCACCGTTGTTCTGGCGGGTATGTTGCTCGCCAACACGGTCATCCAGGTCGCAGGCACGGTAAACCGCGTGAGCGTGGAGGGCGCCTCGGCCTGGGGGCTGGTGTGGGCCGCTGCTGCGCTGGTGAACGGATTGATGTTCGGATGGATCGAGTCGGTGGACGGCGTATGATCTCGTAGGGAATATCTCGCTTCACCCATCTACTTCTTATGACTCCATGGAACACGGTCTCTTCTGCCGAAGCAAAGGAATTTCGGTATCGCATCACGTTCGCTACCAAGGGAAATCTTCTCACCGAAGCAGAGTGTCAATACTTTCTTCTTGCGATTCTCTTTGTGTCTTTCAGTATCCCCTTTAAAGCAAGCAATGTATGTCAGCGGGCGGAGCAACGGTGCAATTAAGCAAACCCCCTCCCCAGCACCTCCCCACCAAATTGAACGGGGCGTTCTGGGAAGTTGGCGAAAAGGACTGGATGGCTGTTTTCCGGGAGATTGTGCTTCTCTTATGACCTTACCCTTTCGATTTTGTTTCTTTTTCCTTTTCGTCTTTCCTGACTCTTTTTTTTTTATCGTGTGTCAATATCCCTGAAAATATCACGTCCATCTTCAAAACTTAAATGTCTGGCAGCTCAGGACCGAGCTCGGGCAAAACTCTCCCCTGACCTGTAGACTACATTCTGAAAAACCAAGCAATCTCCGACTTGGTAGCTCGAACCTGCGAAGCCTAAGTTCTAAGCTTCCCGTTGAAACCACAAAGTCCTGTACCAAGTCCTGGTACCTACAGCCTCAGCCCAAGACCCACAATTCAGCAAGAGCATAGTACAGCAAGCAGTCAAGCCCTGCAACCCCCCCCAAAAAAGCAGAAAAAACAAACTCTACGCACGGCGATGAAAGGAATACTGTACCAACCAACCAACCAATCAAGACAACCAGGGGGTGAGAGGGAAACGGTCGATCAAGTCTACCTGCCTTCCGAGAGCCAGCCCAATTTTTGGGTCCGTGTCGCGGAAACCTTGAAACCGAAGATGAAACAAACGCCAACCCAATTTCATCGGATCGGAACTCTGGGTTGCGGAGAAGATTCCCCCTGGGGGTCCCGGGGTTCTCTTGAATGTTTCATCTGAAACGGATGTGATTGATCCTTTTTTTTTTCGGTGGTTGAGTGGGTTTGAGGATAGGTTGAGGAGAGGATGAGGATGTGGTGGTATTTTGTCTACCTGTCTATGTGATTATCGTGATGAGATGAGAAGATAGGAAGATAGAAGTGGGGGTGGGGTATAGAGTCTATGTTCGGGACAGAATAAGTCAATTACAGAGAAAGGGGGAGGAGGGTGGTGGGAATGAAAAAGAAAGTATAAGGCCCCCCAAAAAATACTCGGATATGGAATTCGCGCATGCAATGAAAATGCAAAAACAGAAGCGAATCGTTCCGGGATTCATCGTCTCTCCATGTCGAACGAGTTGATCTCTCGATGGAACGGCTTCACGGCCCCCTTGGGCAGCAGCCAGCCGGGGTGGAAGACGTTGAACACGGCGACGGCGATGACCATCATGACGCCGTCGAGGACGATGAAGTACACCTCGTGGGTGATGAGGTAGCCGGACCAGCCCTGCGACAGCTCGATCGTGCGGTAGATGCTCCGGACGTAGATGACGACGACCGACAGAATCATGGCGCCCAGCAGGGGCACGACGGAGCCGGTCATGGTCTGCAGGAGGCGGAGGCGCAGGGTGCGGCGCACGAAGTCGGCCGCCAGCAGGACGAAGACGGTGATCGAGGCCAGCTGGAAGACGATACCGGCCACCATGGTGTGCGTGCCGGGCTCGGTGTTGCCGTCCGCGCTGTTGTAGGCGATCGACGCCAGCCCGCCGCCGATGGCCTGCACGACCAACGACACAATGTCGCAGGTGACGAAGATCCAGAGGTACAGCTTGGGGCTCAGCATCGAGGTTTCCGGGCCCATCAGCGCAATAAACCGGCCCAGAAGGACGTAGATTCCCGCGGTGAAGAAGGTTGGGGCTGAAACCGAGATGGTGGATTAGGGCCAATGTTTGGTGTATGAGCCTTTCAAGGAGATTTGCGCGACTTACCGATGATCAGGGTGGAAATCTGCATCAGGAACGCAGTCGAGTTATATGGACACTCTGCAGACCATGTACGACCGGCCCAACCGATGAGTTCAACTGGAAAGAAGCTTGTCAGTTCGCGCGCAGGCAGACCAGATGTGCAAAGATCAGGATGGGGACGTACCAGCACACCCGAGGACGAATACCGTACACCACCATGTCCTCTTCCATACCATCTGCACCAGATGCGCAAGCATGGAGACCCCAAAGAGCACGCAGAATACGATGCCTGCGGCCAGTGATGGCTGGTAGCCATATGATGTGCCATACCCCTCCACGTAAGCATGGCAGCCCTCCCTCAACGACTGGCGGAACTCGGCCTGAGCCGCAAGCGTGCTGTTGCTCATCTTGAATTAGATCCCAGTCGACAGCCGCAATAATCACAGAGACGTTCGGACGTTTGTCAAGAATCGTAGATAGATGGCGTGAACAGTTCTGATATCTAAAAACACACAGAGGCGGGGGGAAAAAAGGAGAAGATACAAAAAGCCGCAGAGAAAATAGCACCGGGGCCGTGCTATATAAGACCAAGCGAGGGAACGGGATTACTCCACAGGGTGAACGGAATTGCTCCACCTGTGAATGCAGAGATGAGAAAGAAAAATGAGTGGCCGAGCCATAGGCAGGGTCAGATCCGATTGTATGGAGCCAGGGTAAGGGTAAGGGTACGTTGTGTGTGTACTGTACAACGCGCCGCGCGATCCTTCCAAAACCTTGGTTTCCAAGCCCATCCACGTTTGATCCTATTCGTATCACATCATGTCTGCCTGGGGGAGGGGATCCCCTGTACTGTACTTTCTGGGCCACCCATCATAGCCAGCCTTGTCGAGAAAGACGGTGAAAATCTGTGCTACCTGAGAATCTAATTGATTGTTTCACACCCCCGGGGGTGATGGTCCCTGGCCGGTTCCATTAGTAATTCAGGACCATCAAGGAAACCAAACCGCTCATTCGCCGAATGTCCACGGTATTTTGGGCGAGACCCAAAAAAGAGAGCTGACGGGGGGGAATTGGCTGGTTCCATAGTTGCGCGGCGAAGATATGGACTCGCAAGGTACACCGAATCGGGTTTAGATTGTCACATATAACGCCTAACGATTGCCGAAGCTCCCGAGAGAGCCACGGCCGGGACATTTGTTAGGCGAATCACCACCGCCGAATGCCGTGCATAAAGTGTCCGCCTGTCTCATGGGATAGAAGCAGTGACCTGTCGTTGCTGCAGCTGAAGCTGCAGTTGGCCAAGGCCACAATGCGTGAGGGCTCGTTTCAGCGCCCAGACCCTTTCAGCTTCGTCAGTCGGGATCTCACTCTCATCCTAACCCGGCTGACGTAGGGGGAAAAGTTGACAGGGAAGCGGAGATCGGGAAGAGCCAACTCCGATGTCAACGTCGCGACTCGTGTAAACAACAAAACCTAAGTCTCCATGCAGGACGTGATACGTACGCCCTTGATGATGCTATATCTCCATTAGGGATCCAGGCAAACATGGCAGCCTGATCATTGTTGAGCCCCCGTGTTCCATGTGGCAGTGAGTTGAGAGGCGGAGATAACGTTAGAGGACTCCGTGAGCCGCTCCGATGTCAGCTTCACTGAAGGATTAATTAATGTGCTGCCTAAAGAATCAGGCTTCTACGGCCGGTCCCGCCGCTATTCATCGCAAGCTTCTACATTTTGGGAATAGTGGACGACGCTCAACACGAAGCCATGTCCCTTGGCAATCATAGCCTTTTAAGACCCGATTTCCCCTACTTACTCATACGTCTACCTATAACTTAACTAGACAAAGGAATGAATCTGAAAACTCTATTAACTATTGATTGTCTTATTTCTCATGACTCATAATCATCCGACAGCTTCTCAGTCAAAGGAGGGCGTCTCATAAGTACCTTCGGGGTCTATGCAAGACGATCAGCACGGGTTCCGATGATCAAAATTCTGGGAGTTTGAAAGTGAGGTTTGCTTACCCTGCCGATTCTTGAGGATGTACTTGCGTGTTTCAGCAATCTCGTGGCCGAGCTCCGCACACAGCTCCTGCTGGCGTACCTGGACTCTCTCGTTTCGTCTGGAGGCCCCGATGACAGCTGCCTGCGCCACGTGGTAACGTGAAACGTGGTTCAACAGCATCATGTCGAACGGAGTTGTGGTACTGCCTTCTTCCATATATCCTTCGATGGTGACCCGGTCCAGACCAGGCCGGCCGAAGAGCAGCCCCTTCAGCTCAGTTGGGTATCCGTGGTAGTTGATGTGGATGGGTCGGTCGGATCCAAACAGGCTGTCGAAGGCTTCCGTCGTCAGAGCATGCGGGTGCTGCCCGTGGTTCTCAAGGATCAACAGGTCCGTCACGTTCACAATCCGGACTCGGAGCTCGGGGCAACGCTTGCGGAGGATAGCCGCTGCAGCGATGACTTCAAACATCACCTCGACGCCGATGCCGACAAGCACAACATCAGGGTCCAGACCCCCATCAGTGCTGCAGAACTTCCAGATCGACGCCCCCGCTCTGCAGTGATTCTCTGCCTCCTCCGGGCTGAGGTACACCGGAGTCGGCTGCTTGGAGCCCACCATCAGGTTGATGTAATTCTTGGACTTGAGACAATGGTGAAGCGTGGATAGGAAAGTGTTGGCATCAGGTGGCAGGTACACGCGGGCGGCCGTGGGCTTCAGCTTGAGGACTGCACCAATGAAGGATGGGTTCTGGTGAGAAAATCCATTGTGCTCCTGCCGGGCCCAAGTGCTAGTCTCGATGTAATTGAGACTGCTCACAGGGCTGTGCCAGGACGTCTCTTGAGCCTACTAAGATCAGTACCAACAGGCAACAGACAGGGGAGGGCTTGAGTCAACTCACCATCTTGTTGAACTTGGCATACTGCACCATCATCGTGTGGATGATGCCCAGGAAACTCTCGTAGGACGGGAAGATACCGGTGCGGCCGGTCAAGGTGTAACCTTGCATGAAGCCCTGGCACAGATGTTCACTCAGCACCTCGATGACGCGACCCCCTTTGGCGTTTGAAAATTGATCCCATTGAAAGTTTCTTCCGGTGTGCGACAGAGCAGCGTCGAGCTTGTTACTTTCCAGCTCATCCGGAGAGAACAGTCGGACACTGTGTGGGTTCTTGGTGAACACTTGGTCGATCAATCTGCCAATCGCCTTCATAGCACTTTCTTGGGTGCCCTTTTCCACGCCTAGCTCCTTCCAGTTGGGGAGCTCCGGTGCCGTGTATCCCTTGTAGGCCTCGGCTCGCTGGCCCAGCTTCTTTTCGTCGTCTGCAGGAATCACGGACTTGATCTCATCGATGATATCACCACCTTCGGTGAACAGCTCGTTCGGACCATAAGCAGAAAGCCACTTCTCCAGAGCAGCAAGCTCCTCCTCGTCTTTCTTCGCGTTGGGGAGAGGCACCTGGTGCGAATGGAATGAACCTTCGATGAACGTTCCATGAAGCTCCTTGGGTCCAGACCAGCCCTTTGAGATTACAAATTAGCTTTCCCCGATGATCAGAAGATTGGCTGCATAAGAACCTACCTTTGGTGTCCGCAGCACAAGCATCGGCCAACGAGGCTTCATGATTGGCTTGCCCGAACGTGCAGCCTTCTGGATCTTGTGGATCTCATCAACCGCCCACGCCATGGAGTTGTGAAGGTCGGTGTCAATATCCTCCAGGTTCTCAACAATGCGGACTTGGTAGCCGTAGCCCGTGAAAAGAGTGATGAGTTCCTTGTTGTCCATGCACCCGAAGATGGTGCGCTCGCTAATCTTGAACCCGTTGACGTGGAGGATGGGTAAGACGGCGCCCGACTCAGCGGGGTCAATGTACTTGATGGCATGCCACGAGCTTGAAACATCATCAGCATCAGCATCAGCATATGCTGACCAACGGACGACGACCACCGGATGGAATGGACTTACGTGGCAGTCGGACCGGTTTCCGCTTCTCCATCGCCAACCACACAGGTGACAATAAGATCCGGGTTATCCATGACCGCACCGAACGAGACAGCCAGGGCATAACCCAGTTCACCACCCTCATGAATCGCACCGGGAGTTTCTGCATTGATATGGCTGTTGAAAGGGAAGAAAAGGAGGTCAGCAACATGTCTACCAGGAGCCAACCTCAACCGCAAGCAAGTCGTTCTCGTTACCTAGGAAGTCCAGCACTCGTGCTGAAGGTCGAGATGAGTTGACGGAGACCGTCCATGTTGCGCGAATATTCGGGGTAGAATTTGCCCAATGAGCCCTCCAGCCAGAGGGAGGCTAGCAGAGCCGGAGCGCCGTGGCCTGGTCCAACCACGTAGAGCATATTCAAATCCTGCTTCCGGACCAGGTAGTTCAGATGTGAGTACACCAGGATCAACCCGGGACATGTACCCCAGTGACCTGCGGAAGAAGTATGAGCTGCTGTTGCTGTTGCTGTTGCTGTTGCTGCTGCTGTGGTTCTGGAACGGAACCGGTATGAGGGTAGACTCACCCAGGAGTCGAGGCTTAATGTCCTCATGCTTCAATCCACGTTTCAGCAGCACGTTGTCCTGAAGGAAGATCATCGCTGTAAACACAGTCAGCCATTATTTTGTGTTTGTGTGACGATGGTGGTAACAGATTAAGTGTCTGGCTTACCAGCAGCGATGTACGCCGCCGCACGACGATACTTCTGCAAAGCATCGTAATCTGATTCCTCTAGCTTAGTTGTCTGGAGTTGGGCCTGCAATTGTTCAACGAGATCAGGGATGTGGGATGGTTCCGGCTTGGGATTCGGCCGATCGATGACTTCTCCCGGCATGATGGGCTGATACTGTAACCCGTGGGTGTATTTGGGCTTATCGTGATAAGGTAACGGAGAAAGTAGGAAGCGAGTAGTAGTTAGAAATATACGCGAGGATTGGATAAATCCCACGTGGAGGACAGCAGGGTAAATGATTAGACGAAGACAGGCAAAGTACGAAAAAGATATCAGGCCACCAGGTTAAGGGAGAGGGGAGATGTAGCTTGAAATAAGCCCGGTGTTGACAAACTTGACATTGTATCCTGTCCGACTCTACCTGCTATTTTTTTTTTTTGGCTTCCCGCTACGTCACCTGGTGAAGGGTCTCTGACATCACCCGTGACCCAACCACTTTCAATCACTTTCGCTATCTTTCTCCCCACCAATCTTTCTGAGCTACGAACAACTTCCAAGAACTGCTCTGCCCACCTGCAAGATCATACATGCAACTGGACCCATACGGCAATGCAACTCCGAGATTTTGATCATTAGACAGTCACATATAACTATAGGGCCGGCCTAGCCAGGAAAATTGACGGACTGTTGGAACTGCTACATAGAGATCTATCTCCTTGCATCTTGTACATACATACCCCGCCTACCAAAATCCCCTCCCCTCCCCTCTCCCTTCTCACTACCTACTCAACACTTATAATTTTATTTAATTCCCCTCACCATGCCCCGCAAGTCCATCCTCTCCGTCAATGCCGGCTCCTCGTCGGTCAAACTCACCTTCTATACCTTCGAGCAGCACCCCAAGGTGATCGCGACCGCGCAGGTCT